GGTGGGGTGGGTAGGGTGTTGGTGGGGGTTAACAATAATGCTCACCGATCGTCGTATAGACAGAAATGTGTAAGATAATATAGAGAAAGAGAAAGTTATCATTTCCCGTTAACGCCTATATCTAATAACAGATACGGTGAACTTTTAGTAAACAGTACGTGTATTACATAGATGTCCTAGTACATAGCTTAAACATGTCATGCAGTGAAACATCTGATTCACTGAATCAATAAAAACATTTAAAAATAGTAACAACTTCCGGGTTGTTTATCGAACAAAGGGACATGGAGATTTTCTAAAAACACAAGGTGCACCATTTGATGCGCTTATGCATATATATAGGTTATCTATAGTTTTGTAATCCATTGTTGCGCAAGCTAACGGACAAGGGGTATACGTAGCTTCTTCCGGTTCGAAAGTGGATCTCCTTGAGTCTTGTACTTTCATTATCGTTAGATTTGTCTGTGACAGTTAAAGGCAGCAGCTGGCTTGTGTTATCCCAGGTATGTATACGTACTGTTTCATGTGTACTTACTGATATTACTGTACTGTGTGTGTATATTTCCATAACAGACTATGGGATACGTTCACATTACTATATTGTGTGATTATAAATGTTGTCATAGTTGGATAACGTTGTATGTGTGCTATAAATACAACCCACCTAAAACGTTATATCTGGTAAAGGCGGACGAAGGTGGGGATGACTGAAATAATTAAGGTGAATCTTCGTCCTTTATAGTGCTCTTCCCCCCCCCCCTCAAATAATCTCGGCTGTATTTTCCTTTATTCAAAGTTAAAGTCCTTTTATTTTAACAAAAACATGCTTTTGTGTGATAATGTACCGAAGGCACAGGCCCAGTGGAAAAGAGGTAGAAGAATGACTAGCCCGCTGAAGAAGGATATGGGTAGTAGGGCGCCACAAAATGATAAACACTTCTCAGTTTTCTGATGTACAACTGCACTAAAATTATGTAAATTGTTTACAGTTGTTTGTAATCAGAACCCTCGTACGTTCTGGCCTCAGTCAGGTCCTTACACACGAGCTTGTTAGCATTGATAGCTTCGATATCGTAATGTGAGTACATTTGTTAAAACCTTACTGCGTTGCAGTCAATAACACAAACGAGAAAATGAGAACTGCGGGTATTAAATAGTAGACTAGATTTATTCACGCACAAGTTTACTAAGTATTTCACTTAGTCATAGTTTCTACACGCAAGTAACCTATACTACTAGCTATACAATCAACAGACAAATTACAACTCAATGTCACACGGAAGGCTATCAGAAACACTCGGTAAAAAATGAAGTGCACACAATGTTAATCTCCCGTCAGAGAGCATTTATACCTTCAATATAAGTAATTGGAGTACAACTCGGATTTAAACTGTTTTCTGTCAGATTCAGGACAGTAAACTCGATCATCACAGGAAAGTACAGCAAATAACGTTAACACTGCGACTGAAATACTATGCTTAGGAATACGCTTATGATGGCGACATTTAAAGAGCTATGGCGC